ATGGAATTTGGAAAATGACTGAAATGTTTTTCTTATGCTTTTTGTTTTTTATATAGTAGAATAACTAACTTCATTCTTCATTATGTGTTAAATTTAATAAAATAAATGTGCATTGTTTAAATCTTAGGGCACTCAGAATATTGCAGTTTAGCCTTATAACACTAGAGAAGGCCCTGGGCCGCCAGCAGTGGAGATTTCCCTCGTACAAACTAGGCTGTGGGGCTCCCGCCATCTAGTCAATGGATGGGTCTCAGTTCTGTTTGGATAATTGAGTCTAGTCCTTGTTTGTGGGGGGGACGCCCCAAATGATATTTCATCCTATGCTGACTTCACTCTTCTGCCTCATAGAGAGTTTGATGAATAGCTTTGGGGCGGTGGGGGAAGGCTTGCTGGAGGGGCCATGCAGAAATCCCATTGTGAGTCCCCGCTGTCTTAGCCTTTTCTCAAAGGCAAGGGCCATCTATTTTTAATAGGTATATAGTTAATATATACTCTTGATCTATTTGACATTATATATCAAATTTTATGCATTTTTAGAAAACCCATTTTTAGAAAACCCATTTCTCAGACTTAGAAATCTCCAATGGGAATGGGAGACTGGAGACTGCGGTGCCTTCCCCACTGCAAGCCTAGGGAGAGGTGTTTAGTGGGGACAGTGAGAGCTTAAGGTGTGTCCCCTGGTAGTCACGTGAGGTCCGGGCGTCTAGGATTTGTTTGGGCAAAGGACGTGTGTTTTCCCCGGATGTAGGCTACATGAGCACATGGATGTGAATTGGGATGGGTTCTGTTCAGTAAATTCCCACGGAGAAGGTGAGGTGGACTGAATCACGGACACAAGAGGCCAGCAGTTGCTAGGGGCTGTAGCAAGAACAGAATGCAATTTGCTGCAGGAAGGTTACTGCAGGTTCGAGGTCTTGGTGATGGGAAAGATCTTCAAATAACTCATCATGGAATTGCTCAGAACTCAAAGTCTTTAATTACTAAAACGAGACTGTTATTTTGAGTCATTGTAAGACTTTCACTTTGAAAGACAGGCCAGAGCATCATATGTCAAGTAAGTTCTCCCCCTGGGGCGTAGGGAAAAACTTGCCCCGGTGTGCCTATTTTAAAGGGGGAAAAAAATAAGGTTATTTTCTGATCGTATCCACAGAGTCATGCCTCTACAATGTCTGGTTACATGATGCACTGTGTGATTTACTTGGAATAAGCAGTCATTATACGTGGTACATAGATAGATCGTATGGTTAACATCTGTTATATCAATATATTGGTGTTGAGTTAACTTCAATTTTCCCCATTAGAAATTAGTAAAAAACCTTTAGCCAGAGACAGTGAAGAAAATGTCCTATATTCTCATTCTGTCTGTATGCTATTTTTTTTTTTTTTTGCTTTACACACAAAGATTTATTAGAGCTTGTCAGAGTAATTGTAGAGAAATTGGTCTTATATTAGTTTTTATGTCAGTAATTTTTAAACACTCATTGTAAATAAATAACCAAGTATATTGTTTGATGGAAAAGTCTTGCCTTCTTCTTTTTGTCATTGGTAACACTGATTCCTACTGCTAGCTTCTTAAACCCTTGAATGTATTTTACCTCATTTTGTGTTGCTCCACGACAGTCTTTTTTCTCTGTTCTGAATGATTTTACTGATGCGTCCTTCTATAAAATGCTCTGCTCTGCTCTTTAGCACCACGGAAATTTTATAGCCCCACTTTTTTGGTAGAAAGAGTAAGACGGGGGCTTGACTGACAGCTGTGGTCACCTCGGGAATTTCTGAGTGTCCATTGAATGTGGCCTCCACGAGGTCCATCAAGGTGTCTGTGTGGATGATTTTCTCCTCTGTGAGAGTGACAGTCCTCAAGATTACACAGTAATTCTCACATGACATTCGAAGGTCATCAGACAGTCATAGGAAAGCAAAACCTTGTGCTTGAAGTAGCAGGGAGAGCAGAGCCCTCAACCTCCACACCAGAGGTGACGACTCTGACATGTGGCCCACAGAGCGGCCAGGCAGCCACGCCTTCCCGAGGGAAGGTTCTGTTTCCTATGCTGACGTGTAGGTAGTTCTATTGAGAAAATATCGATATGTATTTTAAAGATAAAGGTGCTAAAAAAAATTTAAAAAATAAAGATAAAAGTGCTTTTGGAATAGGTATAGTATTTGACAAAGACAACTGTTTTGTTTACTTTAAGAAACCCTAACCTAAGACTTGATTTATGGCACCTAATACTGAATTTATGAAATCATTGTATTAGGGAATCATTGCTAATATTTTTATATTAAATGATTTTTTTCATAGAATTACCCTGAGCTTTTAAAGTTAACTTCATTTTTACCTGGTGTCTGTCTAGTAGGAGTTCAGGCTACTCCACAGAAGCAGAGATCATGAAGCCAGGTCCACCAGGAGTTGGTCTTTCTTTGGGGTCTGTTCCCAGGAGTGCGGCAGGGCCCGCTACCATTTCTGGATGCTGCTTCCAGGCTCAGAGCTGGCTGTTTGCTCCTGTTGGACTCTATCTGGTCTGTTTGCTGAGCCCAGGGCTCACAGAGCTCATGGGGGGAAGAGGCAGTTCTCACACAATAATTTGCAGTCACAGTTTCTGTTGGACTGTATCCGGGTGGAGACAAGTGTGAACTACGCCTCCTTTGTGGGCCCCCCACTCCTTTCTAGATTTCCCATCTCCCCACTTTGTCTCCTTACTGCAAGTTGCAAATGTTCATAGAAGCAGGGGCTGCACGGCACGGCTGGACCAGCTCTTTTTACCCAGATCTAGCATTTGCGTGACCAAGTCTGCCTGCTGGAGAACTTAATAGGAGCAGTTGGCTCTTATCAAGAATCACAATACACCCTGGAGTAAAAAATCATCTGCTTTTTTTTGAAAGCACAAGAAAGGCTTTGGGATGATTTGAACTTTTAGGAAGGGTTGCTCCATGTCAGAATGCATTTAAAGAGCAAATCATTTGAAGATGCTGGGACTATGAGTAAGTGGGAGACAGCTGGGCCAGGAAACCATGGTGGATTATGTGTGGTAAGAGGCAGAACTAGTGTGTTCAAGGAGATCAGTTTCACTCACTGTCAGGGCAGAGGAGAAGGCCACAGTGAATTCTAAAGAGGCTGGGAGACAGCGTGCAGACGCCTGGATGTGAGCAGGGAGGGGGTTTCTGAGAGTGGCGAGTCTTGCAGTGAAGAGTCTGAAGGATGCAGGTCAGGGAAGTTTCTAGGAAAGCAGGCAGGGAAGAAAGAAAAAAGAGACACTTCTTTTTTCTGCTGCATTTCTACTTTGGTGTGTCACACTTTTAAACTTCTTTGTTTCTAAGAAAGGTGGAAGATGAATCCTCCACCCTGTATCGTGGGGCACTAATTAGACAAGTCGACTTGTAGGATAGTTCACTCACATGAGTCCTTAGTCTGTGGGTTTTTCTAGGCTTTAACTCCTAACATTTAATGACAGGTGTTAAAAGCCTCTTTGAGGCATGAATGACATGAAAAATGTGAAAACAGCCTTAGTAGCCTGAGTAAAGAGGCTATTTAGGGTCCCCGAAGCACTTTATTCTTTGGGTTTTTGCAGATGTGGGTGAGGATTTTTGAGCTTTTGGTGAGAAAGAGAATCACTCTGAAAAAAATTTTTGGTGGTTATTTCAGAGGACAAGGAGTCATCAGGATTTGTGAAGGCAGTTTGTCTTTTACAGTGATGATGGCTTAAAATGTAAGAGATGTATTGCCTTTGTGATAGTCTATGTAGGTCACTTTTGCATGTCTTTTATCTAAATATTTAATCCATTGGGAATTTACTGTTATGTATGGAGTTAGAGAGTGATACAATTTTGTCTTTTTACATGTGGCCATCTAGTTTTCCTAGAGACCTTTGTTATAGAGATTCTCCTTGTCCCATAGTCTGCTTCTGGCTCCTTTATGAGTAATTAATTATTGCTATGACCATGGGTTTATTTCTGGGATTTTAATTCTGTTCCATTGATTCAAGTGTCTCTTTTTATGCCAGTGTGCCACTGTTTTAGTTACCATTGTTTTGTACTATATTTACTTACATAATCTATACTGTATTGCATAGTTAAATGTCAGGTAACTTGATGCCTTCATTTCTCTCCTTTTTTTCCTCAGAGTTGGCTTTTGCTGTTCTAGGTCATTTAGGGTTCCTTATAAATTTTAATATTTTTGTCCAAATGATTTGAAGAATGTTATTTTATTTTGATGGGGTTTGAGTTAAATTTATATATAGCTTTTGGTATAATAGTAATTTTGATGATGTTGGTTCTCCTCTTCCATGAACATAAAATGTCTTTCCAGCTTCTTATGACCTTTGATAAAATCCTTTATTAATGTCTTGTATTTTTCAGTGTTTAAGTCCTTCATATTAGATTCTTAATAACCTCAAGTTGATGTGACTTAAAAAAAGTCTTAAGGTAACTCTCAAAATTTGTAATAATTGCTCATTCAAACCCTAGGTCATTGATCTATCATCTATGGGTCAAATTTGGCCACACTTGTTTTTAATTTTTATGACTAATCAAGTTTTTATTTTATAGATCATGCCATTGGTTTCAAGTCTAAAGATGGTGCCTGAACCCAAATGATAAACATGTTCTCTTTTTCTTTTAAAATTTATTTATTTATTTATTTATTTATTTATTTATTTATTTTTGCATACAAGAGCTGGGGCACAGGCCAGAGATGTAGGGGGGAGGTGAGAGGATCCACCAGAGACAGAGTGGGGAACAGAACAGGCAGACTGACTGAAATACACTGCTGAAGGAAGCAGCGGGTGAGTTAGGAGAGATCTGCTGCACCATGTGGGTTTCTCCTTGGCTGGCCGGGGATTGAACTTGTGCTGCAGAGGCTGTGGATTGCTTCATAGTGAAGTGCTTAACCCCTTGTGCCACCAGGGAGGCCCATTTTTATTCTAGAAGTTTTATAGTTATCTCTTTTTCATATAAACCCATGATTAATCTATTTTTATTTCCATACTGATATTTTATTTCCATATCGATAGAGAAAGGTAAGGTGCCAGCATTCTAACAAGGTTTGAGGGAGGCACATTTCACACAATAGTGTGACCACACAATTGTCATGCTTATGAACCAGAAAAGGATCAAATCCACCATTTTCTTTGAGCAAAATTTTATGATGTGTAAGTTTCATTTCATACCAATAGAAGTCAAATTTTTCTAGCACCAGCAACATTTATTGAAAAGGTTATGCTTCCTTCATTGAACTTGACTCTTGTCAAAAATCAGTAGGACTATTTCTCTGAATTTCTTTCTGGGTTTTCTCTTCTGTTGCACTGATCTATTCTCCTATCCCTGCACTGATATTGCACTGTCTACATCTATATAATAAACCTTTGATCTGGCAGTATATGATTCCTCCTACTGACTCTTTGCTGTCAAGATTATTTTAACTGTTCTAGGTTTCAGGCCATACCGCATACATTTTAGAGTAAATATGTCTATGTCTCTACAAGTCTTTGCTCGGATTTTTACAGGAATGACATTAAACATAGGAATTGGTTTGGGAGTATCTACAGCTTTATCAAGTTAAATCTTTGACCTGTAAACAAAGTATGTCTCTCCATTTATTTGGGTATTTGATTTCTTTTATCAGCATTTTGTATTTGTCAACATAGAGATATTATACATGTTTTGTCAGATTTTCACCTAAGTAATTTGGAGCAGTTGTACATTATTATTATTATTATTTAAAATTTGACTTCACCATGTTCCTTATTATTATAGAAACAGGATTGATTGATTTTTTTTCTGGGGAGGTTGATCTTAGATCTTGTTATGTTACATAAACAAATTTATTAATTTAAAATATTTTGTAGGTGTCTTGGGGTTTTCTATCTGTAGATATGGATGTTTTAACTTCTTTCTTTCAAGCTCTGTGTCCTTCCTGCCTTCCTTGCTGTTTTACAACACTTAGAGGTTCTATTGGCAAGTTGAATAAAAACATTAACACTACACATCATTGCCTTGTCATCTGGGAAGGAAATAGTCTTTTCCCATTAAGCATGATGTTTCCCTATAGGTCCTTTTCAGGTACCTTTATCAAATTGAGGCATTTCCTCTTTCTAGTATGCTGAGAGTTTCTATTATAAATTGGATATTGTCAGTGTTTTTCTGCATTCATTAGTATATCATATGCATTTTCTCTTTAGCCTATTGATATGCTGGATTATATTGACAGATTTTTTTTTTCATGGAAGGATTCCCTCCTCTTATTTTCTCAAAGAATTCATTAAAATTGGTGGTAATTTTTCATTAAACACATGGCTGAATTCTTTATCAGCCACTACTAGCCTTTGTAAATACAATTTTAATTGAAACACAACCATTCACTTACACATCACCTGTGCTAGTTTGCATGTTATGACAGATAGAAATGAATAGCTGTGACAGAAAAAAATTTCCCTCACAAATTATAAAATATTCTCCCCCTTTGCAGAAAAGCATTTGCCATCCTCTGATTTCCATATTCAAACTTACTATTATTATAAGCAAACAAATTTTTTTTTTTGGTCCCTACTAGTCTTCTGATGAAGTAAATGATCTGAAGCAAATGATCAGTAGTAGAGGAAGTGAATAATTAAGTCCTAGCAGCTCAGTAGCATAATAACAACCAATAGCTAAATCATTAGAGTTTGTTTGTTTTGATACATCTTCAGTGATGCCTTATTTCTCTCCTCTGATTTGACTTCATAAAAATTTCTCTCCCAGTATCCCAAGAGACCATAGCATGGGGTCCCTTGGAGTGCATAGGAGACTTTGGGTTTGGAAGTGGACAGTAATTTCAAGCTGAATCATCTCAGCAGAGTAGTTGAAGATTGGTATTAATAAGCTCCCACAAATCCCTCAATGGTCTTTACTGGAAAAACTCTTTATTCCATCTCTGAGTCCAGTAAACTGAAGCAACTTACTGTTAGCTCTGCCCTTGGAGAGAGAGCCAAGTTTCTTGTTTGTTCTTCTCTGGTGCTTTGTTCTTTATTCCCTAATGTGATTTTGTTACTGCAAATCTTTCTTGAACTGTCAGATAAAATGGATTGGGCCAACGTCCCTGAATCAGACAGTTTCTCTGCCTGAACTTGCAACTTCAGCTGAAGTCATTCCAGTTGGCTCTTTCATGCCTTTTGAGCCTCCACTCAAGGTGATTAATTTTTATCCTTTTATCTATTCAGGAGAGAACATTGTTAGTGGTCAAGGAATTTTCGTATTCACCCTAAAATCTCTCTTTGATTTTTCTTGTGCTCTTAAATCTTGTACTTCCTCACATAAATGCTTTCAATCTGGCTTTTTTATAAGCCTCACCAAGGCTAGTTATATGCAAATCATGACTTCCAGAAGTTGCAGCCAAACATTACCCTGATCCCAGTAATAGTGGCCTAGGAGGAACTGTAAATTGTGCTAAAAAGAGAGAAGAGGAAATTGGCTAGTAGCCAGTCAGGAAAAGCCAGTGAGAGAAATATCCTCAAAGACAAATATTTTGGCAAATGTTGCAAACAAAATATAATTTAAATTCTGCTTTAGATCCCAAGGCACAGTTACCTGTGTTATGTGCTAGCTGGTTCTTTCATTCCTTGGCCATGATATTTTTTTTTGCCATTCTAAGTATGTTGTGAGAGTTTCTCAAAAATTTTCTAGGGTGTATTTTCCCTGGAGACATGAAGTTACCAAGATGACCATCTTGTTCATGCGATTTCTGTGGAAACACCTTGCAAAAAACTCTTTCCTTAACCAACCTGAAAATTTTAAATGAAGAAAAGTTCCTCAACAATTGTTTGTCACATTTGGTTTAACTTACATATTTTGCACCTAATAGAAGTGCCATTCAAGTCATTACTCAAAGATTATTGTCCTATTTTACATTTAATATTTACATGCACGGGGTGTTTGATCTTATGTCCTCTGTAGATTGGATACAGAAATTTACAAGCATGAAGAAGAGGAATCTCAATCAATCATGCATGTTTCAATGATAGGTTAAAAACTTAATAGGGAGGAAAAGAAAGTAAATGAAGACAAATAGCCACCGCCCCCACACACTGACACACGCACTTCGACAAAGATACATACACACCCACACAGCACATAAACATGTATATCTTCCTAACACATGTGCACACACACACAGATGTGCATAGACAGACATACATACACCCCAACCCCATACACATTTTGACATACACCTTACTCTAAATCCCAACATATACATGGCTAGTACACCCAACACCACACACCAACTCCAAAGGCCAAATGACATGCAAATGTGTTCCATAATCCTAGCACAAGTCCCTTTTAACCTACCAAGAAGGGAAGATTCAGTTTTCTCCTTCCTATATAGGGGAAAATCCAGTTCTTCCCTAGGAATTTTCCTCCTTGTGAGTTGCCTTTGCTATTCACACAAACACTCTGTTACCAAATCTACGGAAAGTTTTCCTCACACCAATCAGTTCTCTAGAACACCAGCTGGGTGTCCTGAAATTTAACAGTTCTGGCACTCTTTACCCAGATATGGCATTAGATCTCTCAGGTCAAGGGCTCATGCCCACAGACCTTAACCCCCTGTCCCCTACTTCTCTCTCTCTCTCTCTCTCTCTCTCTCTCTCTCTCACACACACACACACACACACACACAAAGGCACTTTTTTTTTTAAGATTTATTTATTTATTTATTTATTTGTACAAGCACTGGGTACAGTCAGAAGCGCGGGAGGGTGAGAGAATTCACCCAGCCAGAGCGGGGAGCAGAACAGGCAGAAGGACGAAGTACACTGCTGAGGGGAGCAGCGGGCGGCAGGAGAGGTCTGCGCGCCATGTGGGACCCACACCTGGCAGTGGGGATCGAGCCGGAGCTGCAGAGGCTGCGGGCAGCTTCGCAACCCAGTGCTCAACCGCTGTGCCACCAGGGGAGGCCCACAGAGACACTTTTGATGCCAGTTGCAAGCCCAGGTTACCTCCTTGGGGTTGATTAATTTGCTAGAACGGCTCATAAAACTCAAGGAAACATGTTCACCAGCTTATTAAAAAACACGATTTAAAAATACAGACACATAGCCAGACGAAGAGACACATAGGGTGGGGCATGAGAGGGCCCCATGCAGAGGAGCTTTTGTCCCTGTGAAGTTGGGGGATGTTACTCTTTCATTGCAGATGTGTTCATTCACCTGGAAACTCTCTGGGGTTTTGGGCAGTTTCCTCACACAGGCATGCTCAGTGATGAGCGTTATTTCCAGCCCCAGATCCTTCCCCGATGATGGGCAGTGGGGCTGAGAACACTAAGCTGCTGACTGTGACATGGTCTGCTTATGACCAGCCCCGACCCACGCACCATCCAAAGTCTCCACTTAGAACAAAAATGTATTCTTGGGCTCTTATCACTTAGGAGTTCACAAGGCTATAGGACCTCAATGTGAGGAACTAGGTCACAGATAAATACTGGAAGAGAAGCTGTTAGTTGCTCTTATCACTTAGGAAATTGCAAGAGTTTGGAGAACTCTGCCAGGAGCTGGAGGGAAGAGGCCAATACAGATTTTCTATTATCTCACAGACACAACATTAATATTTACAGGCATCAGCACACCCACCCCCTCTCCCTGGCTTCTCTTGATATTAACCTTCTACTCCACATTCTCTGCATTCTTCACACCCTCTCCACTTCCCTGCACCCCCATATCCTATAGCTTCTCTTCCACAACAATCACCCCCACACAGCTCCATCCCATTTTCACACACAAATACAGCTGAATACATCACATACAATTTAGTGAATGATTAATATCCCTACAACCTTCAAGGATATCCCTTCAAGGGTAATATGGTATAAATCAGCATATTGTCATAAGCTAATGATCCAGAAAGATTAGATCACATTTATTCTACTTTATTTTAGAAGGTAAGAGGATATTTAATATGTTTCAGGAAGATTTTCATTAAATCTATGCCATAACAAAACATTGTAATGATTAAAAATCTACGGGAAAATTGCAACTATCCAGACAGGCAGAGGTCTTGGTGGGAATTGTATGGGGACTATCACCCAGATGAAAATGCATATATTGTGCAAAAATGAAAAATGATATTAGAAATGTATAAAA